CGGCGGAACAAGATGACCGCCTACATCACCGAGCTCTCCGACATGGTGCCGACCTGTTCAGCCCTGGCCCGGAAACCCGACAAGCTTACGATCTTGAGGATGGCGGTGGCGCACATGAAAGCTCTCAGAGGTGAGTAGCCCTTCTTGAATTTTGTAGAGAGTTAATTACACTCAAAAAAATATTTCGCTGATGTAGCTAGATTTCTAGATATTGCAACAAGAATGTATCGCTATTTTTCGTATCTGTGAAAACATTGTTTGTCACATATAGAATTTATAGCAGTAATGTTCTAGCAATAGCTTCTGAAAAATTTAGGTACCATTGCTAAATGTTATTTATTGCATGATCTAACACGTGATTGATCTTATATAGATAGGCGCTTTAGAGAAACTTTCTTTTTAAAGTTCACAAACAATACAAATATATATTCTGTTTCTGTCATCTAAACTGATTAAGTAATTACATATGCAATATCACAACAGTTACTAATCATTTATCTGTTTTAGTTAATTTTTTACACCTAGAAAATTTTAGCTATTATTGCAAGATCATTTTTTTGAGTGAAAGCGATTTCAGCAGCTCTATCATTGGAGATCATCGCAATCATCGCACAATTTTTTGTTTGTACAAATTAAACTTTGAAAATGCTATCGTATTTACTGTGTGAGATGATAAGATGTGATAAAATGTCATAAAAATGCAAATTACTAAACGTCACTCATTGAATACTAAATAATAAAAAAATCTATTTTAAAAATGTAAGTTTATACGGACATAGCAAGAGCTTTGAATGGTATCGATAATTATTTATCTAGAGTCTTATAATTAACTCTGCTTTAATGAACATTGCGATGTAATCGAAGCGCGGATAGAATAGCCTCGCAAAGCGTGACGAGCGGTAAATGCGGCCGGTTGGCGGAAGAGCTTTGACGTTACACCTGCGATACGTATGTTTAATAGACATATTATATAGATAATATTGTCGCTTCTTAGACGTAAGCTGGCTGTGTCCGCACCGGTTCTGTTGCTTGTTGCAACTCGCATTTGTATTGCTAATTAGCGGAGTCCTGAACGCGCACGATGTCGACGCTCGATAGTATTGCCCGTTCCGTTTTTCGTCGGAATCGCATCACGAATTTTAATTATCCTCATCGCCCGTCCATCGTTCGTATTAGTGTCTTCGATTAATTCCGCCGTGATAATCTATACGCATTATGGGGAGCCATACGCATACGACAGAACGTTTTGATATCTCCCCGAATACTTTGTCAGGATCTCGGCTGTATATAAATAAAGATGAGAATTCTCCGCTGGCTTAAGAATATCCTTGTGCCGCTATCTTTGAAATGTATGAGCGAAAAATAAAACCGCTGGCTTTCACGACAAAATTTTTAGTTCATGCAGTTATTTAAATTTTATTCTATGAATATATGAAATGTGGAAAATACTTATTTTTATCAATTCTGCTTAAATAATATCTTAAATGCGTATTTATATATATATTACAATTAGTATAAATCTATAATTTTGGTTTAAATAAATTGCAACATGAATAGATAATATTAAATAGCTCAGCTGCAATATTTATTTTTGAATAAAAGAATATTGGACTTTCGCCAACGTTGTGCGATAATACGTATGTTCATTTTCAATCTTCGCGCGAACACAGCTTGGCAGATATCGAAGCGGTATCACGGTGCGAAACAAAGATCTTTCCAATCTTCCGGGCTCTTCATACTTTCGCGCACGTGCTATATAATTTCCGAGAGATATCAAGAACGTCACTTCAATCGACAGACGTCCGATCGATCGTTACGCTCTTTCTTGATCAACTCTTGATCACTCTTTTTCGATTGTAACGAGGTGGACGTGGCGTGGCTTTGGCGAAAAAGGTTAACGTGACGTGAACGGCGCTGGTGACAACCAGTAATTTTTTGCCGACGTTCGCACCGCACCGTTTAATTGATTTTAAAATAAATCGTAATTATGACAGAGACGCGCGAGGTCGTGGCTCTCGTGGCCGAATATATTTCTTTTACGGCCGAGGCCGTCGCACCGCCACTTCTCAGCGCGGCTAACTGTAAATAATCACGCGCATCGCGCCGCGTAGAAATATCCGTTTTGTATAGTTGGCACGCGGTTGTCGTAACTCAATGACATAATTTTTAATCGAGACGCAGCTGAGAGAAGAGCTACGTCGACGATAACACCTTCCGGTACGTGGAACCGGTAACCGTCCGGTTACCGGTCTTGTATTTATATGAAGTATAAAACAACATGCGCGGAGAGAGAGAGGAGGAAGAAAGGAAGAAAGAGAAAGAGGAAAGACAGCGCGGAACCGGCAGGTTCTCCGAGTGCTCACAATGGTGTTGCGTACCCATGCGCGCGGACGGCTCTATTCAGCTCCAAACAATGTAATCACAACTCAGCGTTTCCCGCGACGTTCGCGACGCTCCCTTATCGATCGGCAAAATCGGCCGTCGATCAACGCATCCTCGTTTGAACTCAACGTCTCAAGGTGAAGCCCGGCGTTAATTAATTAAAGGCCTGTCCACCGTTCTGATGCGGATCCGAGTGGCTTCGATTGACTCAGACATTAAGAATCGCGATTATTATGCTAACGAGAGGAGCCCGAATTCGTTTAACGTAGTTCGACCCTACATCTCACTCTTGCATATTTTTGCGAAGAAGAATTCAGTCGCAATTCGGGAGTTTTATTATGATTAGCGCGTAAGCATGATTTTGTATTTGCAATTAATAATCGATTACTAAAGCCAACAATTATGTTTTGGCGCGTATTTTGGCGCAAACTTGTTAATAAATTTTTTTTAAATAAAATATTTTTGATAAACAGATTATCAAGTTCAACGTTCATATGTTCTTCATAAAATTTACACTAACCGCACTATAATTTAAAAGTTTCCTAAACGACAATTACACAATTACTTCAAAGCAGCTATTTGAGACATTCTCGTAAAAGCCTCTTTGGAATTGCAAAAAATTTTGCAAAAAAGTTCATCCATCATAATCGGGTACCGCGGGTGATTGCAAGGAATTAATCGGCGAACTCTCGCTACTCGATTATGGGATGAAATTAGGGGTGATTTTGCAAGGCCGCTGCACGTTCGCGTGGTCCGTTCCGCCCTGCGGCGAGAGCGAACCCAGGTGGAGGGTTCGCTCGAATGGCGGGAAAGGAGCAGAAAACGACGAATTTATGCGTTGCGAGCGGAAGGTCCGGCACGCAACGCAGCGCGCATTTACACGCGGAGTCAGCTCGGAGCCTCCTCCGAATTTGAATTACTGGCGAGTCAGGTGAGCCGAGCGGTCGTTAATCGAGCCGGCAGTAGGAGGAGCGCGTGAGCTTCAGAGTTGGTTGACCGCAGATTAGTTTATCTGACAGGAAGGCCCGACGTACAGGAGGCACGCCGGATACACCTAATCGCGGCTGGCATCATCGATACACGCGCGAGACGCGAGATGCCAGCGCAGCTCTATTTGATCAAGAAATTAGGGTTCGCTAATTACACGCTTGTCAGAGCGCAGTCAAGTAGCGATGAAATCGAACATGTAACTTCATTTCTAATGAGTTTTTACTTTTGCAAGCGGCTGTTCAGAAATTCCGCCAAACGAGTGGCACATGGTTCTTTTACAAATAGATTTCGTAAAATATATAATAATTAAACAAAATTCTAAATATATATTTAATATAATATTTAGAATTTAATTTTTATCCCCAATGCAAACTTAAAGTAAAAATCAACGATAAAAATATATAGAAAAATGTATCAATTTTGTATTTAAATATTTAATCTTAAATTATAGTTTCATAGTATTTGTGCGAGCTACTCGCCGCTTTTCGTTCTCCAACGTATGCGAGTTCACTGCGAAAATGAAAATTTATGCGACCGGCCATCTTCGGTGACCGTGGCGAGTGGCGTGATCGAATTCAATTACTCATTAATCGTCCTCGTTCGCCAGACCTGCCCCCGCGCTCGTAATTAACGGTGATTAATCGAACTCGATGTTCGACCGGTATATTTTATCGCGTATGAAATTCACCGCGGGTCTTCCGCGGGATGCCGAGCAAGACCGAAAGAAAAGTGGAGAACGAAACGCTCCGAATGCCAAAGGTGACGCGAGGGGAGGATTTGAGTAATCATTGATCGTCATGCAATCATGCTGCGAAATATTCTTATTTCCTACTTACCCATAAAAATGATGCCAGCTTTAGCAGAAATATTCCCATGAATGCTGCGAGTTCGCGTGATTCCACTGCCTGCAAAATGAAAAAATAAGCAATATTAGATGAAGGATAACAATATCAAGAGCCTTGATGACTGGAGCAATTAGAGGAGAGATAACTAAGAAGACTTGGAGAGAGCAGCCTGCCGATTGCCCAGCCGTGATTTATAGCGATGCGCGGCGTAATGAGACATCCCAAGTCCGAAGGGGCGACAATTTAGCCGCTGATAATCTGAACAATGTTCTACATTCGTATTACGACTGCCGTAAATTAACTGTATCTTAATGACAGCGCGAGATACCTCACTTAAGGACTCGCCGCCCACGCGAGTCGCCCGCAACATCCTCGATCGCGATCGGCACCGTTCGCTCGCGACGGAAACCGGAATGCCAGGTGCGAGAGAGGAGATCCATCCTCGTCGGGGCGCAGCACGCAAATTGTCCGGCCGGATGATTTTTACGCGCCGAATAGATCGGCCGATCGCAGGGCGTGAGCCGCCCGAGTGATCTACGGGTGATCGCGAGCCGGACGGCTCGCACGCAACAAGACGTACGGTCCTTCGAGGAGCGCTGCAGAAAAAACAATTAGCCGAACCAGGGCATAAATTAGTGAATCGACACACGTCGGAAGCTGGTGGAAGCGTACGAGCGCCGAATATATTTACGGCGAGATTGAAATTTAATCAAGATCGAATGTTGCGCGAGTGACGCCGGAACGGATCTCGCACCTTAATTGCGTCAAATCACCGGTGCTAGAGCAGGTAACAATAGCGCTCGCGTGCATGCATGCGCGCGCGCGATGGTATTTATGAAGGCTTATAGAGACCGCGGGTGGCGTCGGGAATGCGGGCCACGACGCATGGTGGGTTGGTGCCGCACCGCGTGGAATTCCCGGGGCGGGCGACGGACGGAAGATTTCAGATCGTGTGGGCACAGCATTGTTCGTAATGCGGCGCGATTTAATGTTTGCCTTTCTTCATCGGCTCACTGCGTGCCTCGCCCACGAGTCGCAAGGAGGATCCGAATCGTACACGGAAATCGTGAAAGGTTCGCGCGATGGTGATATTTAGCTATATATCATCGTCGAGATCGTGTAAGCGGTTCTTTATCGGTGAGATCTGTCAGATTCAATCGGATTAAATAATGGTCGTACTTAGAAGTCACGCTTATAACAATTTGTTAAAACGTCGCGTTGGAGTTTCAAATACACCCATGTCAGATACACCCATCTTGCGTAACGATCTTGTAAACAAAATTTCGCTCTGTTCATGGAAGAACGATAATATCTAATCGCGATGATAAAACGAACGAGTCTGAAGAATAAGCAGGTAAATCCGTTATCACGAGTTTGTTTTACGCCCATTAATCGCTCGTGATCGACGAATGGCAAGCCGGAATTCATAAAATCGATAATTAGCGGCGACGTGAACGATGCGTTCCGCGAGTTACGGGCGCATTTGCAATAACTTATAATTTCACGCACGCTTAGCCACGCGGTTAGTTATCACCATCGGTTACCGCGCGTTCTGTTCATTCCGAAACGTTTCATCGCGCGTCGCGCTGCGAAATCGCAACGGCGGCGGCGGCGCGCTTCCTCCCGCATCGGGATACTGCAATTAAACGCGCCTTCTTTCTCCATTCTCTCCGCAAGCCACAAACACACGCTACGATACTTCTTCGACAAAAATATCCGGCGCGCTCGCCGGGACTCCGCGGCGAATAGAATTATCCGGGTCCAGGCACTACGTGAACTTCTGACCCAGAATCCCACACGGCGATGAAGAGATCTGCGGGATATATTGAAATCATTCTGATTATTCCGCCAAAAAAACTCGACTTTTTTTAAATTCTACCAGTATTATTTTTATGGAAGTGCATTTGCATAAAATATCAAGACATATTCTACAATCGATGAGCTATGTAAAAAATGACAAAAAATTTTGTACAATGTTTTGAGAACATTTTAGACAAAATATGTGCTAATTACATTAATCTTAAAAATGTTCATCTGACAATCTCTTACCTGTAAAATATCTCAAAGATATTATGATATCTTAGTAAGATATCGATAAGATTCCACAAATTTTCCATTCCTATGTAAGAATACGTTTCGCGAGCGGAATTTACACGCTCGACCGCCATGTCGTGAAATCGAAATCGGCAAGTCGATAAACAAATTGACAGTAAGTACGATATTAAGACGCTATTAAGCGAAGTGAAATCGAAGACTCGATAACGCACAACATATATATTATTGTATAATACACGTCGGTTGCACAATGGCGGGGGCGACTTGCGAACGGTCGGATCAAGAAAATCGCTCGCGGCCGTGCCGCTGAGACGCTTAAATCACGCAACACCCACATACGTCTCTCGCGCGCGCACGTGCGAAATGGAGAAACGCGCGACAATACGCGCCCTGTTCGCTCGCTCGCTCGCTCGATTTGAATGAGCGAGAGGCGAGGCTCGCTCGATGATATGTTTTGCCACGAGGCTATAATAGATCCGGAAAACAATGAAACGGACGACAATGCGTATTATCGGCAGCGTCGGGTCGTTGATAATTAGTTTCTCCATTTGGCTGGGAGACAGGCGTGAAAAATCAGTCGACCGGTTTCGGATCGATCTACGCGGATACAATTGGCGAATCAGCCGAATTAATTATTCCTACGTGGCGGTTATTTAATGAAGTGTCATTGAAATTTTACAGCGCACACGAACTATTGTTAATAGCGCTAGGAAGAATATCCTGCGCGCGCGCGTGCGCGCGAGAGAGAGAGAGAGAGAGAGAGAGAGAGAGAGAGAGAGAGCGAGAGAGTTCACGATCCGCGAGACACGATGGTGGATTCAATGGTATTTATTGGTCAAATCGATTACGCTATAATTGCCGACTCTGAGCGATTTGCGAGCGAGATTCTTTAGTGTATCAATGATTTAGCTAAAATTAATTCGCGGTATTCAACGTAGGAATTTGAAAAATGCATCGGATTAGCGAATCGCTTTGAGTAATAATACTACATTTGTTAACATATTCGTTACGACCGTGTGCATTCAGAAAGCACGAAATCATCTCCCGTGTGCCGTCACGGTGCATACAACCGTGCATCCATACCTCCAGATTTCCGCGACGATGTAGTACCGGCGGCGGCGGCATCAGGGCGTTAAAGCGCCGTAAAACGCGTCTGGTCGCGCTATCACGCGACGAAATACGGAGAAAAACGGGGGAGGGCGAAAGAAGGAGAAAGAAGCAGCCACAGATAACGCCGCCGCGATAAAGCCGAACGCTAAAGCCATGCGCGCGCGCTTTGTTTCTTCTCGGTTCGCGACTAATGACGGGATATTATACGCAAGAAAATGATCCTCACGCGCTGCATTATATCGCGCGACAGAGAGAAAGAGAGTGGAGAAAAGAGAGGTAAGAGGAAGCCCTTTAATTTAATATCCGAGCGAAGTTCTTGTTTTGCAACAAATGTACACCGTCATCTTCGTTAAAAGATCTAGGAGAGAGAATAAATCTGCAGAGAATACAGAAAACCGCGCGGAAAGGCACGTAAAGCGAGGGGAAGGGAGAGGGGATGAAGATCGCTTCCACATGCCACCTAAGTGTACTCGTAAAATGATTCTAGCGTTTTATCCGTTTTTATTTAGCGGCGGATTGCACGCCGTTTTGCTAGAGGATTAAATATAATAAATACTAAGATCTCTCTCTTTCCATCTTTCTCAGAATTGTGTCTGCTTCGTTGATTAAGTAACAAATTATCGTCCGATAGAGTTGCGCCTCGTGCCATTCCCTCATTCGAATCGACCGAATGCTCGTAAACCGCTCCGAAGGCGTGTGTAGGACATACGCAAAGTGTAGCGGGCGAGCTTGCGTCCGGTTTATCAATATTTTTGTCCCGCGTTTACGGCGCTCGCTCGCCGAGAGAGCGTTTTGCAAAGCGGGTGCCGCGCCGCGAACTCTCTTTCTCTCTCTTTCTCTTGGGCGTATAACGACGTAATGGTTCGGAGAAACTGCTGCAATAAAAACCGTAATGAGGATGCGCGTAAGCGTTCGCACCCTGAAGTTAGCTGGTCCATTTGACGGAGTCGCGATTTACTCCCGACGAAACGGGCAGATAATATTCGTGCGCGTAATTATATCCGCGCTCGCGCGCGAACGCATCTGTTCGACTGCACCCATTTTCAAACGCGCGCTGTACCTTGCAATATGCATACGCGAATCATTTAAATCTTGTAAAAGTAATGTCTATATTTTAGTAAATTTATGCTTAATAAAATACGAATGTAGTAGATATATTAAAAATAATACTTTTCAGATCAATGAGTCGATTTTATAACGGAGAATTATTCCTGCTTAAAAAACGTCTACTTTTATGCTTGGATATTAATTGACAATAAATGACAATATATGAAAAATATAATTACGCGTATTAGTTATTATTATTATGACTATTGTGTATAAAGCACGATATTATAGGGGCCGTACACTTAGTTTTCAAAACGTACCACCCACGGTCCGACGTCATTGCTCGCGGCTCCCGAGGCGACGCACATTAATTAATATGTTTGACATTGTGTGGTCGCTCGTCGAGATTCTATCTCGCGCCGCGGGTTCCCGCCCGCTCCTCGATGTTTCGCGATCACCGCCTCGCGATCGTACGATGTGACGAGATTGTGCGACGATACCGCGCCAGAGGAAGCCCTTTGTCCCCGCGTATCTCGCAGTGTCCCCTTTGACGAGACTAGATCCCGAGATTAATGAGAGCCAAGCCCTCTTAACTCGTACTGTTCTAACTGTAGGAAGGTCCCGTGGACTCCTTACGGCGCGATTTCTCCCCTCCCCCCCCCTCCCTCTCGTCTCTCGTTTCCCTCATGATTTGTAGAGTTCGCATCGTGCGAATGCAGCTGAATCACTTTGACGTTCCGCCCTCGGCGCGTGTTTTGTATTCCGGTCTGCTAAATCGGTAGTGCGGCAGGCCGCAGAACGCTGGGAGCAGTTGACCTCAACGGAATCTATCTTTTATAACTCATAAG